AAAAAAAAAAAGAGGACAGAGTATTGTATCAGTCGAGAGGATCATGTCTAAAGGTGCATTCGTCACCCTTTATACACTTTCCCTCCTTCCAGTACCGACAAGGGACCAGGCCAGCTTTGGGCTGTGTAGTAATTAGTTTACATCCGCCCTGCATGGGAGAATAGGATGGTACTTACATGTTTCTTGATCTTTGCACGTTTGTTATGGTCATATGAATCATCACCTTCATAGCTGCGCTTGTTATCCCCATCCTCATAAAAGGTCTGATTGAATGCCTGTGAATCTGTATTTTGGCCCTGATTTTGCTGCTGCTGCTGCTGTTGTAATTGGCTAGCTGGATTCGAAAGCTGAGAGAGAATAGCAGCTAGATTGGGGGTTGGAGGGGTAGTAATTTGGGGGAAAGCGGTAGCCTGTTGCATTTTTTTCTGGGCGTTCATAACTGCCAGCAGTTTTTGGAAATCCAGACCTTGAGCACTAGGGGCCTGCCCTGACTGGGAAGTCTGTTGCAATTGAGGCGATTGTGCATTGGCTGTAAATTGGGCGAGCGTTTGTTGTAAATCAGGAACATTGGGAGGCATAGCCGGCTGTTGTTGTTGTTGTACTGGTTGAGGCTGCTGATTTTGCTGAAGAATCTTTAATAGGGACGATATCTCAAGAGGAGCTGCGTTGTTTGGTTGAGCTCCAGGAGTAGCCTGAGGTGCTGCCTGGACGGGTGGCGAGCGGGAATCAAAGTATCGCTGTGACCGGGCCTTGACAAAGTGATCTGGTTCTCCAAACGGTACGAGAGGGCTATATGGTTCATCGTCATTGTCCGGTGGCGGAGGCTCTTTGGGGGTGTTTGGAATATCCGAGGGAGAAGTATAGAAAACGCTGAGAGTAGTGGCTTCTCGCTGATCTTGCGCCGTCTTCTCGGGGCTATCTGCAGTCTTTGAACCGCCGGTCTTGATGAAGTTCCTCTCCCGGTCTTCTTCTAGAAGGTCACTAAAGTCGATGGCTGAGAGGGCCGTGTATGGTGCTAAGCTCTCTTCGTTCCAGCCCTCGTCCTCATCATCAAGGTCATCCAAGCCATGGTGAAGTTTAAGAGTCCTACCCTCCCCAGCGACATCGCCGACATCACGCATCATACTGTCATCGTAGCCAATCTCTTCCTCAGGGTCATGAGTGAATAAACGCACTTCTGTGAGACTGCTGTCTGGCTTCCAGGTGACTCGCAATTTCCTCCGTGCCTCTTTCCGAAGCCGCTTCTTGCGTTCCTCATCTGTCTCGGGTGGACTGTCTTCTTCCTGTTTTGATGGACTACGTTCTCGAGGCTTATTCAAATTGGCCATAGTCTCAGAGAAAGAAAAGGCAGGCTTTGCTACCGGCGGCGGAGCTGGCTGAGGAGTCGTCTTAACCTCAGTAACGACACTACTATAGGTTAGTAAGCTTGTTAGGTATGATGGTTATGATTGAGGTTAAGTATAAGGGGTAACATACGTCGGCTTATCCTTTGCTGCGGCAGCCGCTGCTGCACGAGCAGCGTTTGATGTTCCAGGTTTCTTTGACGCTGACATCAAGCTGCTGAAAAGACTCGGCGTGGGCTTAGGTATGACTATATTGGCTTTGGGTTTTGTAGATGCCTGGGAAGTGCCATTAGGGGTTGATCTGCCGTCCTTTGCAGGGGCGGTCATTTTCTTTGCTGCGGCCGAGGCGCCTCCAGACACGACTCGGGTGGTGCCCTTTACAAATGATGGGGATACCACCCGCTTCGTCAATGTTGTGCTACTGTCGTCTTCCCTGGCCCGCTTGATACCGACAATAGGCTGAGATGAGCTATTTGTAGCTTCTCGCTGCTTTGTAGCTTGAGACGTCGTTGACCCTGGGGCACTACTGTCTTTGGCCGAAGATTTGGCAGCTTCAGCTTTCTTCTTAGTAGCAGCAGTAGCATTCTCCATAATGGATTGAGCTAACTCCTTGATTGTGCTCCCTCCTTTTTTAATGAACCGAGAAAGTATCTTGTCATTTTTAGTCTTTTCTAGCATTGCAAGGTCCATTGTCGTAAATTTGCCCATTAACTATTATCATCGTTAGCTTGATTGAACTGTTTAGGTTTTTTCAACGTGGATCATATATACCTTTAATATGTTGACCGTTAGGGGCCCGTCACTATCTGCCGCTGTGTGACGGTCCAGTAAGAAGGAGTAGAATGCCGCAACAATACTAGGATGTTCGCCGAATCTATATATTATAAATAAGTATTCAAGAGCATGCTATATTAAGTATTGATTAAAATTTCCCCATGTTGTAAGAAGCCAGCATAGCAGCAGGCTTCAGCAGGAAAGGGGTAAAGAGGAGGAGTTTATCATATGATAGCATTATCAGCAGCAGATGTGGTCCCCGGGAGACGCACACGGGCTCTGGAGGCCTTGTCTATTTCAAAAGGCTAGGGCAGTTTGGGCAAATTGCCACGTAGGCAATTGCCGTATGCAGCAAATGAGATTCCCTCCCATTTATTTGAGAAGGTAACCATTGCTTCTAGCTCTTGATGAAACAAGGCATATATGGTGCAGGAATCTCCCAGGTGCCTCTTAACATGGCTACATAAGATGCTATCCGTCGACTCAAGCTTCTACAGGAGGATATAGGGGAAGCTAGATGAAAGAGAAAGTCCAAGACGTACCTTCTAACATATGATGGGTGACCAAACTCCAGGGTATTGTTAATGATCAAGTCTAGCAGTCGCCTCTGAAGAACCACCTCCTTTTTGAGAGACGGGATTTTTCCTTCAAGGTTCTGATTTTCCGCAGCTTTGAGGGCCTCGCTACGAGCTTTCCAGGTATCTCGCACCCCCTTAACAAGGTCCGAGAACTGGATCATGGCATTCCTTACATCGGCCGCTTTTGCGTGTCGATTGCGTGGAGCCCAAACCACTTTAATAGTGTCATACCCAGTCCTACCTTCAACATCATCTGGTCGTACCGCGGGGATGGGGGAAGGCTCAGCTGGTGGTTCTTCTACCTCGAGGTCGTCGTCTGATTCGTCACTGCTGTAATCGCTTGACGATTCGCTCTGAGTTTGATTAAGTGGTTGCTGCACGGCTGGTTTAGTGATGAATTTGTTTAAGAGTGTTTGTGTTTTTTGCTCTACTCCTTTCTTTTTCCGAGGTTTGGCGGCAGTGGGGGCTTTCGGAAGAATGGTTTGGAGACCTAGAAAAGGGGGTTAATATGAAGCGAACATGAAATAAAAGATAATGAATCATTTTACCATTGGAATAGACAACGGGAGCAAGGCCAACGGGTCCTGTCGAAGTCTGAGGAACCACAGTTTGAAGCCCATTTGCTATTTGTAATTCACTCGTTCTAGATTCAAGGTTAGAATAAGTCTAGCTTTATAATCCAGGACAGGGGAACTGACTTGAGGCTTGTCGGCCGTTCTAGCTCTGCAGGATTGATAGCATAAAGCTGCTGCGGTTGTTGTTGTTGGGATTGCGGTTGTTGGTCGGGTGTCGAAAGGAAGTGAGGATCAATGGTATTGTGATATGGTGAATGAGAATGTCGAGTGGTGAAGTCGCCCGGGAAACTTGCTGGTCCCCCATGCTGTAAAAGTTACCGATTGGTTAGATATTGCTAGTAAAGATAGGGGGAAATCGAGAAGTATACCTGGAGTCCCAGCTGTAGAGTGCTTGGTACTAAATAGGAGGACTGCTGTTGTCGATCAAGGGTGTTCGTCGCAATTGGAGAGGCTTGAGCCACTCGCTGTGCCGGTACGCTGGCAGGGTGTTGATCATACGCACTCTGTTGCTGGACTTGCGATTGGGTTGCATAGAAGGTCTGCGGGTCGTATGTGTAAGGGTGATATGAGGAGGCTGCCTGCGCGGCATCGAAAGTAGGAGTTTGTTGTGTATGGTACGGCGACACCCGATATGGGCTAGGCATAGAGAACTGTTGCTGCGAGTCAAGAGCTACAGGTTGGTGTTGTATTGATGTTTGCTGCCATGACTGCACCTGTTGCGGCTGCTGCTGTGCTTGAGGTTGTTGCTGTTGGTGTTGTTGTTGGTGTTGTTGCGGCGGCGGCTGCTGGTGCTGCTGTTGAGATTGCGACTGCTGGGGGAGCGAATAGATGTTCTGGTTTGTCTGAGGAGAAGGTGAATGTGGGCTTGGGCGGAACACAGGATGATCCCACCCTATGCCGAACGGCTGGTCGTTTGTCGGGCCAGTCCCGTATAGAGTGCTCATCCCACCCCAAAACTCGCCATGGAAATGGCCTACACCCGGATCCGACGGCGGCGGCGGATTGGGATCCGTGGTCGAGTCCATCGTCGTTTAGATGTCAAAGGCCGCAGCTCGATATATAGAGGCCGAACTATGGGCGGCGAAAAGTAAATAAAAGTAAGAAAAGGTTGCCGGCAGGTACAGGTCACGTGCTATGGTTGGGCGGTATAAAGTTGTGGCTGCTTTAATGCTGACAAAGCTAGAGCTTGCCCGATTTGGCTAGCATAAGTGGCGTCGTGCCAGGATCACGTAAGCTTTCTGCCGCCGCTTTTGCCTGTACTGAAGGGGGAGCGGCTCTTTTCTTAACGCAGCGTTTGTGTATAAAAGGCTGGGGAAGTGGTTGTGTGTGCGCGATGCTCTGGAACCATTAGCCAGGCTGAGCGTAGAGAAACAAGGCTGAGCCGCTGGGCATGAGCCCTTTCCTTTCCCCCGGGAGCTTTCTTGTTGCCGTGTGGTGATGCTCGGGGTGTGTCGTCTTTATAGTGATCCTGGGCTGTTGGCCCTCAAAAACAAAAGAGAATCCCCCCCTTTTTGCGCAATTTTAATATACCCAACTCCAAAATAGTCAGAGGCAAAACGAGAGAATGAAAATGACAAGGAAACAGAAGAAGAAAGAGTACAAGATCTTAGGTTGCTGGTCGTAAATGCAGCAGTAAAACAGTTGCCTTCTCTCAGTAACCCCGTCTCTCCAAACCAATAACCTGCTCTGTTAACTTTGTTTTTAGCGCCAGTTGAGTAGTACGGAGTATCCTTCACAGACAACTATTTTTCAGCAGTAGAATAAACCTGGTCGTAGGTGCTGGCGCGTGGCGGACGGGTGCGAGGAGGTCGTATGATATTACTGTGAGGCTGGTGGCATAGCGCTCCTCTTTACGGTGGCGCGGTATGCGATGACACGAGGAACAAGGACAAGAAATGTACAAGAAGAGGCCACCAAGGAAGGCAACGCTGAACGAACCGACCTCTGGATGAGTTAGAGGTGGTTGGCGATGCACAAAGGAGGTTGGAGTTGAGGTTGAGAAAACTGGCGACGTTCAGGGTTTTGACCTTCTCTTAGGCGTTTCGTTGCTTATGTGCTCACCCGATCACCTGATGCTCTTCGGGCCGCTGTTTATCCAATATCACGTGTGCGTCTCTTACGTCAGCCATGTGTGTGAGCTTCATTGCCAGTAGAGCCGCGATAGCATCACTGCAACACTGCAACCATTCGCGATTTATATATTACGGGCGCAGCGACGGCGCAGAGCTGGTTGATACGTATAGTGTACTGGCTTGACTAAATTTGCATGAACAAAGGCAGTGACGAAGCTATCTAGTCAAGGAGAGGAAAGTTTTGCTTCACCAAACAAACTAGATGCTACGATGGCATCTAGCCCTCTCTCCCTCCGGCAGCGGCAGATCGGTACGTTCGCCCTCTGTTTTACCATCTAAGATATGACTCTGACATACTCCATCAGCTTCAATTGAGCATATTTTAAATCTGAACCATGAAATTCCTCCTCAAAACGAGCTTCAGGGGGAGTCTGCTGCAGGCAAAAACGGTCTCATACCTCGGGCTGCCCCCCTACTGAATGAGGATGGCGACCCAGTGTGGAAGATACTTGTCTTTGATAATCTTGGACGCGATGTCATTAGCAGTGTTCTTCGTGTTAATGACCTTCGAAGCTGGGGAGTTACAATCCATCTGTTCGTGCTTATTACCCCCCATATTCCGTTTGGTGGCCGTAGCTGACCACTAAATAGTAATCTAAACTCACGGCGCTACCCTATTCCAGATGTGCCGGTTATATACTTGGTTGAGCCAACTATTGAAAACATCAAAATGATCACCTCCGATCTATCTAAAGGCCTCTACTCCCCCGCATACGTGAACTTCCTCTCCTCCGTTCCCCGACCTATTCTCGAAGACTTTGCTGCAGAAATTGCCGCTACTGGAACAGCAGACAAGGTCGCCCAGATTTATGATCAGTATTTAAATTTTACCGTTGCAGAACCGGAGCTATTCAGCTTAGGCATGGGGAAGGATACATACTGGAAAATCAACAGCGCTACAACCAAGGATGAAGAGCTGGATGTTGTTGTGGACAGAATCGTCAGCGGTCTGTTCAGTGTCAGTGTCACAATGGGTGAGTTCATGTCTATCTCAAGATCAAAAACTGTTACTAATGTTCTACTATCCAGGATCGATACCCATTATCAGATGTCCAAAGGGTGGTGCCGCCGAGCTTATAGCTGCAAAACTTGATCGCAAGCTTCGAGATCATATATTAAATTCGAAAGACAACTTATTTTCTGGTGGCTCTCAACGACAGGGTATTGGATTACCCTCTAGCCGGCCTGTTCTGATAATAGTTGATCGAAATGTTGACCTTGTCCCAATGCTTTCTCACTCGTGGACGTACCAATCGCTCATTCACGATGTTTTGAAGATGCATCTGAACCGCATAACAGTACAGTCGCCTATCGACGAGTCCGATCTAAGTAAAGGCATGACGACTAAATCTTATGATCTGAATGTGAATGACTTCTTCTGGAATCGAAATGCAGGGGTGCCTTTTCCACAGGTTGCGGAAGATATTGATGCAGAATTGACCCGATATAAAGACGATGCAAACGAGATCACGAAGAAGACGGGGGCATCGTCCATTGAGGACCTCAATATTGATGCGGGTGCGTCTGCCCAGCACCTGAAGACTGCCATTACACTTCTACCCGAACTACGCGAGCGGAAAGCACTTCTTGATATGCATATGAATATCGCCACGGCCTTGCTCAAAGGGATC